AACACTTCTCCCACCCAAGCCTCCTGAGTGTAACTGCTCAGTGGACTCCTTGCTTGCTGCCTAGATAGAGCCTATTTATCAAGGCAGGGGAATTGCAATAGAGAAAGAGCTTTATACATGTAAAGCCAGCAAAACAGAAGACTGGTGTTTTATTATTACTCAAATCAGTCTTTCCCAAAATTCAGAGGCTTGGAGTATTCAAGGATAGCTTGGGAGAAGAGAAGGGAGTTGGATAGGCAATGGTTGCTTGCTGCTGATTGGCTGAAGGGCTATCATAGGGCTGTTGGAAATGGTACTTATGAACCTGTGAACCTGTGTGACTTCTGGCTGGAGCCACAGTAGTAATTGGTGCGTTCAGGTAGAGCCGGCAGTTGTCAGATATGCAAAAAGCCTGAAAAGATTATCTGAAAAGGCTATCTTAGGTTCTGCAATAGTGATGCTATTTGCAGGAGTAATTGGGGAAGCTGCATATCTTGTATCCTCTGGAATAATGGTAGGTAATCATTTATGTCTGTACCTTAGCAGAATTTAGGCTCCTCTCACCCCTAAGTCTGGTGGTCTCTCTTTAGCTTTACAAAGTCGGTTGAATTTGGGGGAATGGCTATTAGCATTTAAACCAGGGGTCCCCAACCCCTGGACTACAGAACAGTTTTGGTCTGTGGCTTTTTAGGAACGAGGGCCACGAAGCAGGAAGTGAGTGGTGGGCAAACAAGCATTTTCACCTGAGCCCCACCTCCTGTCAGATCAGCAGTGCCATTAGATTCTCCTAAGAGTGTAAACCCTATTGTGAACTGCACTTAAAAGGGATCTAGGTTGCACACTCCTTAGGAGAATCTAATACCTGATGATCTTAAGTGGAACAGTTTCATCCTGAAACCATCCCCCAATCTATGGAAAAATTGTCTCCCAAGAAATCAGTCCCAGGTGTCAAAACTGTAGGGGACCACTGATTTAAACTGTAAACTAAATGTGTCCCAAAGTTAGCTTGGTCCAAGTTCAGGAATAATTAAGGGCAGTTTGAAGGCTGGACTGCCTAGTTTTGTGGGGATTGGTTAGATCAGATCTCTTCCAGTACTATAATGTTCTCACTCATACAATTTTCCCAAAGGCAGTTTCATGAGTAGCTGGGATTACAGTTGTGAGCCATCGCCCCCAGTTCTGTTTGCCTATGTTTAGATTGGGTTTAAATGCACTTATTGTTGAGTTTTTTAAAAAATCACGTATGCTTTTGGTATCATATATTAGAAATCTTTGCCTAACCCAAGGCTATAAAGATTTACTGCCATGATTTTATCTAACAATTGTGGAGTTTTGGCTGTTACCTCTAAGTCTGTGATTCATTTTGTGGAAAAGGTTCATACCAATGCTTTTGTATGAGGATATTCAGTTTCCCCAGCATCATTTGCTGAAAAAACTATCCTTCTTTTGTCAAATACCAGCTGTCCATAAATGTACGGGCCTATTTCTGTACTCTCTGTTATGTTCCATTGCTCTATATATTTATTTTTATTGAAAGTGTTTTGTTTTATGATTCATTATTAAGTCTTGAAATTTGATTTATTTAGACACTTTCCAGCCAGTCATTTACCAAACTAATTAGATGGGTAAGGGTTATAGGGGTGGAGGGCAAGCTTCCGTTTTGCCCTCTTTGAAGATTTGCTGAAATGCTGACAACAGACAGATTCATGGGAGAAAAAGGCATACAGATTTATTTACATATGCATAGACTTGGAAATCCAGCAACTGTGAGACTCAAAGAAGGGCTAAATGGTTGGGGCTTATGTACCCTCTTCACAGATTAGAGGGAATTGGGGAGGTTGTAGGAAATTTTAGAAGGGCAGCAGATGGTTTTCAGGGGAAATGGATGAGCCCAGAGAACAATGGCCTGGGACAAAGTTCCTCTGAGCTCTGGGGGAGCTGCTAGGAAGGTGAAGGGCAAAACTTGAACTGTGAATAACATTTGTCTTGTTATTCAGATAAAGTCTTTTAGGTAGTCTGTCTCAGTAGCCCTCAGAAGAGTAGATGAAAAGTCTGTCTGGGCATGGTGATGACTTTTAATCTCATCTCTTTTCTGTGGCTAATTTATCCTGTTATTTGTTGAAACTCCTAGAGAGAGGTCTTAAAGCAATTGCATTTCTTTTGGACAGAAATTTCCCTAGTCAGATAAGGAAAAATTCCAGAGAGCCTCCCCTCCCTGCCCTTGATGAGAAGTGGGAGAGAAACAAGAGAAGGTTAGAAAGTTAGGCACCTTGTAAGGACTTCCAATTTCTTCTGTTCAACGTGCTCAGCATGCCAGAGTACCATACTTTGGAGGTGTCATTCTCTGCACCCTAATAGGGGAAATACTTAGGAGGTTTGGCATGCAGAAGTGGACATTTCTCTTCAATGTGTTAGTAATTCAGAAGCAATTTACTTAGCTCCAACTGTGTGGCAGGACCTGATGCCAGGCACTAATTCCGATAGATGCCATGATGGGCCTTGGGGCAAAAACACATCCCCTGCTAGGAAGTCATTTGATGGGATTTGTGAATCCATTTCCTGTTTTTTCCCCATGATCGGGCAGCCATTCAAGAGCCCACAGCTGAGTGCATGGCTAAGGTCAAATGCAAAGTGTAGGTGACTAATCTTTTATTTATTCAACAAAAGTTCTTTGAATATCTGCTGTATGAAAGACATTGTGCCAGGCATTAAGCATTTGCAGTGTAGACCCAAGACAGAGTCCTGTCTTTTTGAGGAAATTATTAATACGTTTATTTATATTGTCTACATAAAACAATTCTATAAGTAAATGATGATCGGTGTACTGGTGTAATCCACTCTGTAGTGCAGAGGAGGGAAACCATCACTGCCTGGTTGACATTAGAACTTGACCTAGGAGGAAAAGTAAGATTTCAGTAACTAGAGGAGGAGTGGGGACAGGAAAGCATTTCAGGTAGAAGGAATACTGAGTATCAAAAGAGTAATATGACAGCAGAGGTTTTAGAATGTGACCTCAAATATTCAGCAGACATTTTGTTTCAAAGTCTGTCCTAGCCTTCAGGAATGGACATGAAGCTCTGGTTAGGGCACTGGGACCTGAGCATCTTGTAGTAAACCCTCAGCTGTCATGTGGCTCACTTTCAGAAGTGTGGCCTCTGATTTGCTAGGTGTTACCTGGCTCTACCTTGCTCTTGGTGAAACTTGTCACTTTAAAAGAGAGGGTGCTCAGACGGGCTGGAGAGAAAATAACTTCCACTTAGATTTAAGCTTTAGTAAGAGACATAAATGCAGTTCCTCTTCTGTGACACTGGGCTTTTACAACTGGGAAAACTAGTTTTTGAGTATCTGTGGTCCAGAGATCTCTGCTGAGTAGACTAGAATCTGGAAATTTGACAAACTTATGATGTCATTTAGGAAGTAATCACTTTGAAACTTTTAATCCTCCTACAGAAAGTATATTTCTGTTGCAGAGATTAATTTAACAAGAGTATATATGGCATCTGTCAAATTTTTAATTAAGCAATTAAAATAAAAGAATAAACCTGTATTTATAATTCCATTCCAAACATATCAGTTTCCCAGATGTGATTTTGAGTGATTTTATTTTAGAAAAATATGAACCCTGGTACTGGGGACCTGGAGTGTCATCTGGATATAAGGAAACATTCTTTGACAGGGAAGAGGTGTTAAGCATCAGAATGGATTGTAGCAGAGGCAGTGGTATCTCATCATCTGGGGTGTCTTTAAAAATAGTTTTAGTGTTCCTCCCCTTGTGTCAGTTGTCTTGATCGTAATCCTCGGTTATTTCAAAGGTTTAATGAAGAGGATGCAACCAGTTGTTCTCAGTTGTTTATTTGCAAGGACTGGTGGAAATGGGCTTATGTTTAAAGAGGAGTGAATTAGTTTGCATATGAAGTACCTGAAAGTATCAGAGTATTGTGAAAACCTTAAAACTATAAAATATGCTGTGAAGAGATCCCTAGATTTTCTTTTTCTTTTTTTTTGAGACGGAGTTTCACTCTTGTTACCCAGGCTGGAGTGCAATGGCGTGATCTCGGCTCACCGCAACCTCCGTCTCCTGGGTTCAGGCAATTCTCCTGCCTCAGCCTCCTGAGTAGCTGGGATTACAGGCACGCGCCACCATGCCCAGCTAATTTTTTGTATTTTTAGTAGAGACGGGGTTTCACCATGTTGACCAGGATGGTCTCGATCTCTTGACCTCGTGATCCACCCGCCTTGGCCTCCCAAAGTGCTGGGATTACAGGCTTGAGCCATCGCGCCCGGCCGAGATCCCTAGATTTTCTAAACCTTGAGACTTGAAAAAAAGAGATGAAGTAATCACTTGTGTCGTGCCTATCTTAATCTCTCACCCTAGCAAATAATGCTCTGAAAGGGACACCAGGAAGTGCTCATGATGGCATGACCAGAAGGTATCTGCACTCCTGACTGGCTGCACCTTTCTTGGAGCTGTATCTATCAGTGGATTCTGTTGCTTGCCCAGCACTAACCTCGTTCTATGAGGACCTTGCTTCCTCCCGAGTCTTTAGCCTGACTTATGTTGTGAACAGTCCAGCAAGTGGCTTACTGTTTGGGTAAGGACAGAGCTGTGTAAGACATCATCCAGGAAGTAGATGAAGTTAATTTTTGAGGTTTAGGTAGTTCTTTGATGTGTGTGTGTGTGTGTGTGTGTGTGTGTGTGTGTGTGTGTGTGTGTATGTTGACATTATGGCTATTTTTTCTTTTTTTTTTTCTGAGGTGGAGTCTCGCTCTGTCCCCCAGGCTGTGGTCCAGTCTCCAGGCTGTAGTCCAGTGGCACGATCTTGGCTCACTGCAACCTCCACCTCCTGAGTTCAGGCTATTCTCTTGCCTCAGCCTCTGGAGTAGCTGGGATTAAAGGCCCATGCCATCATGCCCAGCTAATTTTTGTGTTTGTAGTAGAGACGGCGTTTCACTATGTTGGTCAGGCTGGTCTTGAACTCCTGAGCTTGTGATCCACCCTCCCTGTGATACGCCCACCTAGGCCTCTCAAATTGCTGGGATTATAGGCGTGAGCCACCGCGCCTGGCCCTATATCTATTTTTTTTCTATCAACAGCTTTGTTGTAAAAAGTCAGTAGTTTAAGTGATGCTAGAAGGGGAGAAAACAGTTCTTATTTGGGGCAGGTATCTATTAAATTGTTGAATGACTGTGTTATAGGTCAGGCATTGACAACCTATAGCTCATTTGACCTACAACCCCAAAAGGGATGATTCAACTCAGAAGTATTCAGAGCAATTGCCACAACCAGCACTTTAATCAGAATTGCAAAGTAGTTGAAATTTTTATTTGTCACGTCCTTATATTCCTTTTCTGACGCTTCTCTACCCACTCACCAGCTGCTCAGGGTCTTCAGACTGCCTTTTACCTGGAATCATACCATGCCCTGCACTGCAGTGCTGCTCCCCTACATATTTTTCCATCTTACCATCAACCATGATTAAGATTTCTTTGAAACCAATGATGGGTATAAAGAGGAAAGTTAGTCTGGTAAAGTGACCTTGTTAGAAGCAGATGGCTTGAGAGCTTGCTGTGTCTGTCTCTGGAGCTGTCTTTTGTTGTTGTTTCAAAGAAGAACAGAATGTTTTTACTTAAATACATTTCTAATTTATAATGATCAATTTCCAATTTACAATGATTCTGATGTATGAATTTGGTATAACGTTACAAGAGAGTCATTAGAAGGGAGGATTTGATGAGGAAATACACATTTTTCTGAACGAGTGTGAATTTTGTTCATAGGTATAATTTAAATAAAACTAATTTAAAATTCTTTAACCTTTGCACGATTTTAAAAATCTACAAGTTCAGGGGAAAATATGGGCAAAAATAGATTTTTTTTCCTGTTTTCTTGCTAATAAAAGGGAAGATTTGAAAGGAAAGACAGAGACGTAAATCCAGACCAAACCAGAACCAACCAACCCAAACCTCTGTTACAGAAAGAGTTACATACTTAAAAATATTTAAGAATTGAAATAGGTTTTTTTTTTTTTTTTTTTTTTTTTGAGTCGGAGTTTTGCTCTTGTTACCCAGGCTGGAGTGCAATGGCGCAATCTTGGCTCACCGCAACCTCCGCCTCCTGGGTTCAGGCAATTCTCCTGCCTCAGCCTCCTGAGTAGCTGGGATTACAGGCACGCGCCACCATGCCCAGCTAATTTTTTGTATTTTTAGTAGAGACGGGGTTTCACCATTTTGACCAGGATGGTCTTGATCTCTTGACCTTGTGATCCATCCGCCTCAGCCTCCCAAAGTGCTGGGATTACAGGCGTGAGCCACCGCGCCCGGCCTGAAATAGCTTTTAAAAAAGCTTTCTTGAAACCATGGTGAAACTATATAGAAGAGAATAAAAAAATACCTAGGTGAAATAGTGACTAAAATACCCCAAATCTTAAAGTATTTATCTGTAATATATTCATAAATGTTTTTATTTTATTTGACAACGTACTTCCACCTTGTGGTGAGAGACTAGGAAAGGCCAGTTTTTGCATTTTAATTGATTATAGATTGTCAACCCAAAAGCTTAAAAAAGAAGACTTCTTTGTCAAAGAGCCAATCAAGTCCAAAGAAGTAGACACATTATTTGTACCACCTAGTGCCAATGTGAATTTTTTAAAAACTCTGTTATTTTATCCACTAATACCTTAAGACGTATAACTAATATCTTTATTTCATATATATATATATATTTTTTAAGATGGGGTTTTACCATGATGGTCAGGCTGTCTTGAACTCGACCTCAGGTGATCCACCCACCTTAGCCTCCCGAAGTGCTAGGATTACAGGCATGAGCAACCGCGCCCGGCCTATTTCATAATTTGAAAATAACCTAAAGGAGATGAATTCTGTATGGCCTTAATGTTGACCTAACATAGCACTTTAAAAAAGCATAACCACTTTTTATCATGCCAAAGAAGAATATTTCCCTATTAACTGTACCAATTTAGAATTTATAATTTATGTAGAATCTGAATTGTAGTTTTATTCTTTCACAATTCCTGAAGAAGTAGTACTGAAATAAATTTGTAATGAAAAAAGAACTTTAGATAAGGCAGCTGCCTAAGAGAATACAATGTTTTTGAGCATGTTTTGGTGTATTTTAAAAGCGATAATTTTCTTATCAATATGTTCATATATTGATATTTATCTTACCTTTATTTTTTCAATTAGGCCATCTAAGGAGCTCTCCCAGGAGAACCTGATAGCTTATTTTTCATGAACATACTTGTTTGATCTAAAAAAGGATTGCATTGAAAAATATTTTAATTCATAATTTTCACTAGTGCAAACTACCCTTTTTCTCTTCACCCAGTTAGTGCAAGCCAGTGAGGCGATCTCATTTGGGACAAACCTTCTTTTTTATTTATGTTTCTTTCTAAAGATAGCTGATTGTTTTCCAAAATACTGTGTCCTTTAGATATAGACCTTCTTTAAAAGAGGACTGTGAACTCTTTGTGTGGCCGATGTGTTGCTCGCTGCTGCAGAGCTCACTAGATGGCATGCATTTTACCCAATATTCATTAATGGAACGTCTCTTCCAGTTTCCTTTTTTCCTGAGGGACTGTTCCTCCATTATTGTGTACAGGTTAGCCCCTCGATTTTACCTGTGATTGATTTGTTTTTGCTTAAGATAGTAGTTTACAGGGAAGCTTTTATATTGGTCAGAGATATTATGTCCTAATTCTGCTTAAAATTCAGTAGTTTTCTTTGTCTAGGAAAAGCTCAAGCTTCTTAACCCGGCATATAAAGCCACCATGTCCGCCAGCCCATCGTTCCAGCCTCATATTCCACTTCATGCTTCACTGAACTTCACCCCTGCTTTCCTTCCTTGCAACTCACATATAGTTTTGTGTCCTTGCCTTTTCCTTTGTGCTTGCTCCCCCCTCCACCTGGAACATTCCTATCTTCTTTGCTGGGAGGACCACAGATTGGGTTAAAGCTCCTTGTAGCTTTCTGAGTATGCTCTGAATGCATTTACTTTATACTGCAATTTCTTTCCTCTCAGATTATAGGCTTCAAGAGGTGGCACCGTCATTATTGATCTTTGTACCTATAGAAGTTAAAGGATACCCTGCCGTACGACAGATAGATGCTCAATAAATACATTGTGACCTGAACTGAATTGCAGTGAAACGATAATGATATGGTTAAATAATGGAAAGTAAAATTTTTGTGGAATTTGTCTAGATTGACATCCACCACTGTAATGTCAGCCTTTTAAAAAATAAAGTTTAAACATTAAGTAAGCAGCTATATGATGATTCTCTTTTCTTCAAAGTTGAATTTGATATAGCCTACATAAAACCAAACAATTATAGTTTAACAAAAGGGAAATTTTCAGTGTAGTATTTTGGATCAGCTAAGCCATTCAGGTAATACAGAGCTGGTGTGATCTACTCTGTTCTCAGTGCAAAATACATTTGAAGTATTGTTCATGTCATCACCAGCATCTTGTTTAGAATTTTTGTTGCCCATAGAATATTTTCTAGTCTATTTTTCTTTCTTGGGATATTCTTTTAAGTTAAAGATTAGTGCCCCCTAGAGGTAAATTCTAGGTGCAATGGTGTACACGTATTTTTTTAAAAGTACTGCAAAATTCTAAGAATTGTGTGAAATACAGAAAATGCTGTATCACCCTTGTTATGTAATTCAGGTTATGTAAGTTAATCCCAGAGTATTTTATAGTGCTTTTACTTTGCGCATCACTTCCTCTAGCACTATTTATTCAGACAGTCTTTTGTCCCATAGGGAGAAAATATCCAAAAAGAGAAGAAGGAATGCTTTACTAAAAACTGAAAGTAGAATTTTAGGGATAATGGCAGTTAGTATAGTCATCTGTGAAGGACAGTTACCAGGCCAAATGTCTGTGACTCACACTTGGGGTCAAAGAAAAGCTTTTCTATGTAGGCTTAACTGTTTACTTTCCGTTCTTTTCTTTCGCTTACATTTCTCACTAGATCAGATTGAAACCCCAATTATTTCCCCCTCAGTTCATTTACAACCACCCTTTACCTGTAATGTTGATTTTTAAATTTTTAATAGCATCCTCTTTTATTCCATTCATTTGTGCTGATGAAACTGACCCAGTATTCTAAAGCACTTAGCACAACGTTAGGCATCTAGTAGTGACTCATGGTATGTATATTACTATTTATTATTGTTAGTGACGTTTGCTTTTCAAAGAATGATATCTTACATTTTCATATACAGCATTTCCGTGGACCCTCAGAATAATCAACTGAGACGGGAAAAAAAGGCAGTATCACGGGATAGCCAGTGTCTCTGGATTTTTTCACGCATTATAGAAGTTAAATTAGTTTATCACTGCATTTTTTCCCTAAAATTATTAAGAAATTAAGCCATAAGTCTTAAGAGTAGCTTTTATTTTGTACATTTTTTAAGTTGACAGGTCATTGATTTTGTTTTTTAAATGATGATAATTTGATTTAAAGATTATAGACTTTTTGTTTTCTAGGCTGAGCTAGAAGTTCTGTTTTCCAGCCTTTATTTTGCAGATAAAAAAACTGAAGCCTAGAGAGTTTAGGCTGTTGGTGCAAATTCATAAGGCCAGGGGCTTAATGCTTTTTGTTTTACCACAGCTTTTCTCTTTTCCTAATTTAGATTTGCATGACGTAATATTGTTATTTCCCTTCTCTAAACGTGTCTGTTTTTTCTTTGTGTCGCATAAATGCGATGGTAACAAATGACACCTGGTTTTGGAAAGTTTCCCTTATATAGAGGGTTATGTTCAATATGGAAAGCAAGTTGTGAAATTGCCTTCCTATGAGATAAGTGTTCAGAATCACACCCCATCTTTAACTGTCCTGGAGTGAGAAAGACACAAGAAGTGGAATATAGAGTGAGATGTGAGTCTGGTATAGTAGGCCAGAGGGCACAGAATTCTCAGCACTGTTAAGTCCTGGAAGGCCCCAAACCAATCATGTGCTTGGATTCAGCTGTCCTTCTGTGTACGGAGGATATCAGACGTGCTCAATAAAGTCATCTAGTTTGAGAAATCAAGCAGCTGGCTGAGAATCAGGAGCTGCATCATATTGTTTGTATAAATATAATCTTTTAGTGTTCCCATTCAGGCTCTTTTAGAGTTAGGGTTCTTTCTGTTTCTTTTGGAGATACACTGAGAAGTACATATATTTAGATGCATTAATGTACATAACATTCACAAGCTTAGCTTTTCAGCCTTGTTTTCAAGTAGACCTTAGCCTTATAAATTCAAGCTTGTATCTTGGAATGGGACTGGGTGAATTCTTAGAGCACTCTAATACAGGAGTCCCCAAACCCAAGACCACAGACAGGCAATGGCCCAGTCCGTGGCCTGTTAGGAACTGGGCTGCAGCATTTCCACCTGAGCTCCGCCTCCTGTCAGATCAGTGGTGGCATATGATTTTCATAGGAGCACAAACTCTGTTTTTTTTTTTTTAAGATGGAATCTCACTCTGTTGCCCAGGCTGAAGTGCAGTGGCACGATCTCAGCTCACTGCAACCTCCGCCTTCTGGGTTCAAGTGATTCTCCTGTCTTATTCTGCCAAGAAGCTGGGAGTACAGGTGCCCACCACGCCCAGCTAATTTTTTTTCTGTATTTTTAGTAAAGACTGGGTTTTGTCATGTTGGCCAGGCTGGTCTCAAAATTCTGACCTCAAGTTATCCACCCACCCCTGCCTCCCAAAGTGCTGGGGATTACAGGTATGAGCCACTGTGCCTGGCTGTGAACCCTATTGTGAACTGTGCATGAGGGATCTATGTTGTGCTCTCCTTATGAGAATCCAATGCCTGATGATCTGAGATGGAACAGTTTTATCCCAAAACCACCCTCTCCTGCATCTGTGGAAAAATTGTCTTCCATGAATTGGTCTGTGAGTAGAAAATTTCAGTTTTAGTACTCATTTCACTAAGTGCTTATCTGTTTGTGTACATGTCATGCATGTAGTAGATATCTTTTGAAAAGGCCCTTGAAAATTGATTCATCTCTGAAATGTAGTTGAGAAGTTGAGGGAGTTGTTGTTTCATGGTATCCCAACATAAGTATTCTAACTGAATGGATAATTCCTTTGTAACTTGTTTGGTTTTTTATACGTGTGTGTGTGTGCGTGTGTGTGTTTGTGATGGAGCCTCACTCTGTTGCCCAGGCTGGAGTGCAGTGGCTCGATCTCAGCTCAGTGCAACCTCTCCCTCCCGGATTCAAGTGATTCTCCTGTCTCAGCCTCCCAAGTAGCCGGGATTACAGGCACAAACCTCCATGCCCGGCTAATTTTTGTGTTTTTAGTAGAGATGGGGTTTCGCCGTGTTGGCCAGGCTGGCCTTGAACTCCTGACCTCAGGTGATCCATCCATGTTGGCCTCCCAGAGTGCTGGGATTACAGGTGTAAGTCACTGGGCCCGGCCGTATTTACAGGTTTTTCTTAAGAAGGATTGCTTAAATATGTTAAAACATTTTTAGGGGGGAAATAAAGTGTTTTTAAACTTTGTCTTACTGTGATATTATCTTGTGACACCAGAGATTCAACTGATATTCCTTGGGAATTAGAAAATCAAAATAAAATGTCAATTTGTAAATGTGGAGATCTAGTTAAAAGTAATTTGACTTGCCTTTAGT